AGGGAATGCAGCTGCTGGCTGGGCTCTGCTTCCAGAACATCTTCCACGGAGCCATGTCCCTGGACCAGCTCTATTTCGCCCGCCCAGCGCCGGCCTATTCAGGCTACCGGTGCCCGATTCCAGGCTTGTACCTGTGCGGAAGCGGAGCCCACCCTGGTGAGTGGGGCTGGGAGCCGGGACCACCGCGGTGCAGGAGGGAGGCAGGGTGCGTGGAGGGCTGCAAACGCAGCGCAGGGCATGGGGCAGCCTCTGCCCTCTGTCCTGGCTCGGGCTCCTGGGACTGGAGCTGCCAGCTGCTCTCATGTGCTGCTTTGCAGGAGGGGGAGTGATGGGGGCCGCAGGACGCAACGCAGCCCGGGTGGCCCTCGAGGACTTCAAGTGGCTGCACCGGCAGCAGTGATGCCAGCACTGCCAGTGCAGGTGTATCGCTCACCCCAGCATCTCAGTGCGCTCGGGAATATAAACACCGACATGAGTTCTGCATCTAGCACTTTATTTGTGGCTTTTTGACTCCTCATTGCAGCTCGTGCTGCACCCCTGGTCTTGCTGGTCCAGGGGCCACCTCAGTGCTAGGGCACGTGGCCATGCGCAGCTGAGAGCACCACGTCTGGCTGCGCAGCCAGTTCCAGGAGACCTGCCATGGGGGAAAGTGTCCTTGGTCCTCTCATCCACCGCCAAAGCAAGCCTGGTGGGTTAGAACCTCCCCAGATCGGGCAGAGGGTGAAGAAGGTGCTCAAAGCCGTCTTTGCTATCTGGCACCCCAAAGTGTCCCTTGCTGCCCTGATAGCTGGGTGAGCAGCTCGGCAGCGGTGCAGGGGCCGGGACCTTGGCTCTGAAGGACACTGTCACAGTAGGGGCTGGGGCAGAGCAGTGCTTTTAGAGGGCAAGGAGCAAGTTTTCCTGCAGCGGGGGTCCTGCCTCTTTCCCCTCTGGGATGCCGCATTGCTCCCACCCTCCTCCCTGCTTACAGCAGGGGCTGAGCGCCAGGTTTGTCCCTGCACGTCCCCGCCGCCAGCCTCGGCCCAGGGCCCTGCGTCCCCATGGAGCACACGCCACTGCACTGCGCTACGTGGGAGCAGGGAGCGTGCACGGCAGCAGGAGCTGCCCAGGCCGCCCCTGGGAGCCACTTACTGAAGATTACAGAGCTCGCATCCTCTCCCAGCCCTCTTCCTCCGGGCACAATGCCCCCCATTCAGCTCCCAGCCTCTCCTCCCGCCCGGCCCTAAATAAAGTGCTTCCGGGCTGAGCTGTTGCACCTGAGCTGCCTAAATCAATATTGACCGGCCCAGAATAGCCCCGCGGCCCTCTGAGAATAGCCCCGCACACCCACCTTGCTGCCCACAGCTTCCCGCGCACGGGGCTGCCCTGCAGCGCAGAGTCCCTATTTTTAGCAGCCCCATGGGCTGCTGGTGCCCGGAGAGCCCGGGGGGTGGCAGCAGCCAAGGGACACGGCAGGGAGGGACCCACTGCGGGCAGGTCCCGGCCGTGGGAGAGCCTCGCTGCCCTGCTCGTCCTCCCACCCAGCCTGGGCACGGAGCAGCCGCAAGGAGCAGGGCAGGGGAGGCAGGAATCCTGGCGGGGCTTTACGGGAAGGACGCGGGGGGAGATGTGTGCCTGGCTTCACACTCAGGTAATTGAGCTCCGAAGCGGCGAGACAGGGATGAGTCACGGCCTCCGCTGCTGGGCCCGGTCCTGCCCTTCCCCAGGGCTCCCCTTGGCCGGCTGCCCCATGGCTCCGCTCCGCTCGGCTCTGTGTGGCCCCTTTGCAGCAGCCCCTGCTCTGCCCTGCGTCCTGCATCCTGCAGGTGGGAACAAGAGCCCCATTACAGCACAAGCCACCGATCACGGCACTCTGGGGCCCATCGGTGCTCCCAGGGGGTCCCCAGCATGGCCCAAAAGGTCTGCAGGGACAGCAGGGGTTCCCAAAGCACCCCAGCCCCGTGCACCCCGGGCGCGTGTCCCCGTCTCAGCCCCAGTGCTGCCCCATGCGCTCCCAGGGCCGGGACACTCGGCAGAGCCGCCCACGGCAGCACGTGGCCGCGGCACCCGCT